GGCCCTAAACCCCACCTCTTCCTCCGTTACATTGATGACTGTATCGGCGCCGCCTCGTGCTCCCACGAGGAGCTCGAACAGTTCATACACTTCACTAACACCTTCCACCCCAACCTTAAGTTTACCTGGACCATCTCTAACACCTCTCTCCCCTTCCTGGACCTCTCTGTCTCCATATCGGGCAACCACCTAGAAACCGATATTCATTTCAAGCCCACCGACTCCCACAGCTACCTAGAATACTCCTCCTCCCACCCACCTTCCTGCAAAAATGCTATCCCCTATTCCCAATTCCTTCGCCTCCGCCGCATCTGCTCCCAGGATGAGGCATTCCACTCCCGTACATCTCAGTTGTCCTCGTTTTTCAAGGACCGTAACTTCCCCTCCTCGGTGGTCGAGAACGCCCTCAACCGTGTCTCCCACATCTCCCGCACCTCATCCCTCACACCCCGTCCACGCAATAAAAACCAAAAAAGAATCCCCCTCGTCCTCACGTACCACCCCACCAACCTCCGGATCCAACGCATCATCCTCCGACACTTCCGCCATCTGCAATCCGACCCCACCACCAAAGACATCTTTCCCTCCCCACCTTTATCTGCTTTCCGGAGGGACAACTCTCTCCGTGACTCCCTTGTCCGCTCCACACTCCCCTCCAGCTCCACCACACCCGGCACTTTTCCCTGCAACCGCAGGAAGTGCTACACCTGCCCCCATACCTCCTCCCTCACCCCCATCCCAGGCCCCAAGAAGACTTTCCACATCAAGCAGATGTTCACCTGCACATCTGCCAATGTGGTATACTGCATCCGCTGTACCCGGTGTGGCTTCCTCTACATCGGGGAAACCAAGCGGAGACTCGGGGACCGCTTTGCAGAACACCTACGCTCGGTTCGCAACAAACAACTGCACCTCCCAGTCGCGAACCATTTCAACTCCCCCTCCCATTCCTCAGACGACATGTCCATCCTGGGCCTCCTGCAGTGCCACAATGATGCCACCCGAAGGTTGCAGGAACAGCAACTCATATTCCGCTTGGGAACCCTGCAGCCCAATGGTATCAATGTGGATTTCACAAGTTTCAAAATCTCCCCTCCCCCTACCGCATCCCAAAACCAGTCCAGCTCGTCCCTGCCTCCCTAACCTGTTCTTCCTCCCACCTATCCCCTCCCCCTTTTCTGATGAAGGGTCTAGGCCCGAAACGTCAGCCTCTCTGCTCCTATGATGCTGCTTGGCCTGCTGTGTTCATCCAGCCCTGCACCTTGTTGTCTCGGATTCACCAGCATCTGCAGTTCCTACTATCTCTGGGCCAATTTATCTGGTCTGGTTTACTCATGACTCCAAACCCACAGCAATGTGGCTGACCCTTAAATGGCCTAGCAAGTCACTCAGTTCACAGACAATTGAAGAGAGGCAACGTGCTGCCCAGTGTTAACATCGTACTCCGGAGCAGAAAACTCATGAAGACAACTCAACAAATTATACTAATCAAAAGCAAATATTCATCAGTGCTAGGACAAAAATTCACACTGGTTTGCAGGGAAGCCCAAACTCAAAATTTCATACCTACCACAATAATTCTGCTTCCACAATCTGTGCAACAATAAAGAACAAACTGTCTAAATGATGGCCTCACCAGTTTAGTATCTTTCCTTGTCTTGCTGCCATTTTCTTTTGCTTGATCATAAGTCAAAGTCTTGCTCTCTACGCACCACATACTGAGATTATGCAGAACCTAGAAAACATGGGAAAAGGAAGACATACAAGTGACAAGGTCAATGATGCCAAAACATTTAGGAATCATGCTGAGTTTGTGGACAGAGAAAGCGTAAAAGGAAACTGCAGGACACTTGAAACAGCTCAAGGGTCTCATTTCAGACTAGAAGCTGCATTCTGATGAATTTAGATTTCCTCTACCCCACCAGTACACCCATACATCGAGACCATGGAACACACCATAGCTGAAGTGGGTGGAGATGGACTTTGATCCAAAGCTTGCTAATGTTCCCCAAATACCTTCCACTGTGAGCTGCAGAAGGAATTGACAGGACTACTTGGCACCACTCCCTGTTGACAAGGATCAGATCTTTAGGAACAGCGAAGATAACAGACCACAGAGAGAGAAACAGAGTAGTGACATCTGATTTGTTTTCTTTTTAAAAAAAATGAAACATGCAGACAGAAAAGATGAAATTATTCCAACAAATATCTAATAAAACACCATTGTAAAGCTCAATATCCAAAACTTTAATCTGATGACTGCATTGTCAATAGCTTGAAGGTTTTGAATAAACATCTGCTGAAAAATAAATGTGTCAATTGCCCAAGATATTCGTATACAACTTGTGCAGATCGCTCTCACAAGTATAGACAGACTCTATATTACAAAACTTGCTGTAAAGCAAATGAGGAAAGTAAATTATTTGAAATTCACAAATATGATCAATAAAACAAGAATTTTGCACTGTTAGAGGAGCAAATAGTTTTGATGTCCAGATCCACAAATAACTAAAGTTTGACACAGAGGTACAGAAAATAATCAAAAAGGCTCATAATGTTTCTCAGGGGTGCTAAAATCAAAAAGGGAGAATTTTTTTTAATGCAATTGCACAGAGCCCTGATCAGATTTCATCTGGAATGCTGCATCAGCTTTGAACATTAATCCTCATTAACCTGGCTTGGCACAGATTCACCAGAATGCAAACAAGGTTCGAAGAATTAAATAATGAGGACAGGTTGTATAAATAAAACCCAAAAGAACTGCAGATGCTGTAAATCAGGAACAAAAACAGAAGCTGCTGGAAAAGCTCAGCAGGTCTGGCAGCATCTGTGAAGAAAAAACTCAGAGTTAACGTTTCAGGTCCAGTGACCATTCCTCAATTACAAAACGTTAACTGAGTTTTTTTCTTCGCAAATGCTGCCAGACCTGCTGAGCTTTTATAGCAACTTCTGTTTTTGTACAGGTTGTATAATCCCTTAGGCAGAGAAGTTTGATCATTATATAACAATTTGGTAGAGGTGACATAGAGAAGCTGCTTCCTCTGGTGATTATATCTCTAGAACACATGGACATAAGCTAGGAGTTATACCATGAAAGAGTGAAATCAGAAAACACTTCTCACAAAGGGTAACAGAAATCTAGGCTTAGCCCTCCCAAAAGGTTTGTGGGTGCTCAGTTCAGGTATCAAGGATACAGTGCAAAACTAGCAAGTGGAGGTCAGGGACAGACCAGTCATGATCAAACTAAATGGTTAAAATTGGTTGGAGGCTGAACGGTCTCCTATTAGTCTGATGTACACTGTGTAAACTAGCTTAATGATTCTCAGCCCTTGGCTCAAAACGCCAGCCTCTTTTTAAAGAAAAGATTGCCTTTGCTTTAACTGTACCTTTCAAAATTTTATTTGTTCCTATTTTCAATAGATTCTGGGAGTTATATACAAATGACAAATACTGCATTTTAAGCAATTAAACACTCCAGTACTGAAAACCAAGAGTAGGAAACAGACATGTTATAAAGCACTTGCTGCCAATAGGTAGTAACAATGACACGGATCCAGTTAAAACAAAAACTTAAGTTATTGAGGTAACGAGGACGTACCTGCAAACAGACAGTTCTGCAAACTATCATTTTACAGTGTTGCATTACACAAAATACAAGCATTTTGCTGTTAATTCCAGTGTTATGCCAACATTTCAGTTCACTCACCTGTCTGATGTCCTGATTTGCTGCAAGTATAATTTCATTCAGAGCTGGAGGGGGAATCTTCAAGCCTTCTTTAAAAGCAACAGTCATCATTGCGCCCTGAAAGAAAGTGACTTACAGAAGTGATCAGAGGATCATATATATCAGCATTTTGTACAGAAACATTGCAGACTGAATGAATTTTATTTTTGGTTTAGTTATAGGATGATGTAAAATAACTGTTCTGTGATACAATGCTACCTTTGTCACTGCTAAAGCAGCCAGGTCAATGAGGGTCACGGAGTAGAATGGGTAACTAATTTCCAGTTCACTATTCACCCAATATTTGTGCCCTCGTGTGGAAATGACACTCCCAGTTTCTCAACAAGCACAGCAAAAAGGGGCAAAAATCTGATGGTTGAGAATGGAGGCAGGGTTGAGACTGAAGGCACAATATATAAATCAAAATAATCAATATTACTGCCTTCAAAGCAGAACAACCAATACATGAAAGTTTAAGCAACCAGGAAACCACGCAGTGGCAGAATACATATCACTTGATACAACAGGTGAACAGCTAATCAAGTCCCACCTTGATTTGTTCTACTCGAGGCCGCTGAAAGCGGAGGTCAAAGCAGTAATTGGCCAGTGAACGGATCTTGGGATGATTTCGGTCATTACATATACAGAGAATAGGGACTTTGGTCTGTTTAATGAGAGAAATCATTTCCTGGAAAAGAAAAAAAATCCAAAATTATAACTAGCCAGTCAGTCAACATCTACATCTCCACTGAACTCAAAGCACTCATTTCCAGTCCAAACATGGTTAGGCATCCTAGGAAAGGATTTTCCAGGTGTTCCATTCCTTAATTAGTTTGATTTTTATCAGGAGAACACATAGTTTTTTTGGTAGTATATACTGTGGAAACATATTAGATGGATTTCTGGTTTATTGCTTTTGTCATGATTGCAACTTTAACAACAATTGCTAAATACAAATCATGAACATAAGTTCAGGTTAAAGTGATAAATGTGTGTAATACATAATGATAATTTGGAATGTGGGTTTTTAAAGTAGAAGCAAATATGTTTTTGTTTCAGGGTTTCTGTAAGGGTAACTATTTCTCAACAAAGGATCAAAGTCATTTGGAACAATGAACTAAACATAACTTCGAAGGAATCCTCTAACTTAAGTGCCTAGCAAGATACCCATAACGTTAATTGACGAAATGCTTACAATGCTGTGTTTTATGACATACAAAAACTGTAACAGCCAAGGGCTGCTAGTAGCTTAAAAAGAATGAGGTTTTATTTCAGAAAATCAGCATATCTACAGATGGACGCTTTGTTAGCTTGTAGAGACAATTTGTGTAAGTCTTCTGGATGTCAGAACTGAAGGAATCTGGGAAACAAAACAGGAAACAGTCAAAAACAGAAGACAGACGAAAGCATCATACAGGTTGAAAGTGGAGAATACATTAAAAAGACTGTATTAAAAGGAACTTCATCTGAATGCATGCAGTATTGCAACAAAGGTTTAATGATTTGTTTGCACAAATTAAGGTAAATGGACATGATTTAATTGCTGTAATGAAGACATGGCCAAAGAGTGACAAAAATATCCAAGGATATTCTACATTTAGGAGGCACAGACCAAAAAAGGAAAAGGAGGAGGTAGCACTCCTAACATGAAGCAACATCAGTACATTAATAACAGAGGATTTTCAATGAATCAAGATATAGAATCAGTTTGGACAGAACTAAGAAACACCGAGGGAAAGTAAATATCAGTGGGAATTGTTTAAAAAAATAACAAACTAGTCCCAATACAAAACAAAGAACTGCAGATGCTGAAGATCTGAAATAAAAACAGAAATTTCTGGAGGAATTCAGCAGGTCTGGCAACAACTGGGGAGACAAAGCAGAATTAACGTTTCGAGTCCAGCGACTCTTCTTCAGAACTCAAGCTAGCACTAATTCTGGACACATTATAAAATCAGGAAATCAGAGATTCGGGTGATACAGTAATAATGGTTGACTTCAATTTGCATAAAGTCTAGGTCAGCAAAATCAGATATGGAGGATGAATTCCTGTAGTGTGGATAAGATGCGTTTCAGGAAAAGTACATTCAGAAGTGAACGAAGTATGGGGCTATTTTAGATTTGGCATTGTGTAATGAGAAGGGGCTAATTAATAACTTTGCTGTAAAATGCCTTTTGGAAATACTGACCATAATATGACAGAATTTTACAGGAAGAACTAATGCAATATAGTACAATCTAAAACTAAAATCATAGTCACAGATTCATAAAGATGTACAGCATGGAAACAGACCCTTCGGTCCAACACCTCTATGTCAACCAGATGTCCTAAATAAATCTGGTCCCATTTGATAGCATTTGGCCCATCTTCCTCTAAACCCTTCCTATTTATATACCACCCAGATGCCTTTTAAATGTTGTAATTGTACCAACCTGCACCACTTCCTCAGGCAGCTTACTCTATACACGCACCATCTGCTGCGTGAAAACGTTGCCCCTTAAATCCCTTTTAAATCTTTCCCTTCTCACTTTAAACTTTTAGTTTTGGGCTTCCCCCACCCCAGGGAAAAGACCTTTTCTATTTACCCCATCCATGCCCCTCAGGAGTTTATAAACCTCTATGAAGTCACCCCTCCGCATCCAACACTCCAGGGAAAATAGCTCCAGCCTATTCAGCCTCTCCCTATAGCTCAAACCCTCCAACTCTGGCAACATCCTTGTAAATCTTTACTGAACCCTTTCAAGCTTCACAACATCCTTCCTATAGTAGAGAGACCAGAATTGCACACAGTACTCCAAAAGTGGCCTAACCAAGCCACAACATGACCTCCCAACACCTATACTCAATGCACTGGCCAATAAAGGCAAGCATACCAAACGCCTTCTTCACTATCCCTTCTACCTGCAACTCCACTTTCAAGGAACTATGAACCTGCACTCCAAGGTCTCTTTGTTCAGCAACACTCAAGACCCCTTGAAACTTCCTCACAACCTGGGTACATTCCCACCCAGTTTGGTGTAATCAGCAAATGTAGAAAATATTGTACAGATATTTTCAGACCATTAAGCGTATAAGTCCTGCCCTGATTTGCCTTCCCAAAAGTCTTAAATTTGCGCAAAGGAAACCATGAGGGGCAGGTTGGGTCGGGTGGATTGGAAAATACATGAGAAAATTTGACGGTAAGCAGACAATGGCTATAACGAAATATGACAAGGTCTACAACAGATATACATTCCTCTTTAGAAAAATCTCCTAAAGAGAAAGCAAATCAAACACAGTGAACGAAAAACGTTCAGACTACATTAAATCAAAGGAAGTGGACTAGAAAAATGACAAAAATAATGATATGCCTGAGGACTGGGAGCAATTTAGGACCAAGAAACTAATACATAAAGGGAAAACAGAATATAAGTGCAAGCGAGCAAATCACAAAGAGGGACTGCAAAAGCAGTCTATTGATACATGTAAGAAAAAGGATACAAATAGGCCAATTACAGGTGGAGAAAGGAGAATTTATTGTGGAGCACAGAAAATTTGCAGACAAATTAAACAGCTACTTTGCATTTGGTTTCAAGAAGAAACCCTCCCAAAAATACTTGGCCTCCAAGGAATTTGTGAAACTGCAAAGCTAAAAGAAATTAGTGTTAGTAAAGAAGAAAGTGCTTGACAAATTAGCTGGGATCAAAGGGTAATTTATCTCCTGGACCAGATTTACCTTCATCCCAGGGTGTTATAGAAAGTAGCAAAAGAGATGCATTGGTGGTCTTCTTTCATAATGTTATAGATTCTGAAAAGGTTCCTGCTGACTGGAAGATAGCAAATATAACTACTATTCAAGGACAGAGAAAGAGTGAGAATGGAGAACTACAGACCTGTTAGCTGGATGTCTCTCATAGGGAGTACTTTATCTATTACAGAAGGATATAATAACTGAACATCTACCAAAAAATAGGGCAAGGTCAACATGGATTTATGAAAGGGAAATCATGAGAAAGAAATTTATTGGGATTTTCTTTTGCAGGATTTACCTACAGCACATACAAAGGATAACCAGTCAGTGTTGTGTATTTGAATGTGCAGAAGGCTTTTGATAAAGTCCCACACGGGAGGTTAATAGCAACATTAGAGTTAATTAGATTTGGGAAAATACACAAGTATGGATCGAGAACTAGTTAACAGATGGAAAGCAGAGTGTAGGAACAAAAATTCAGGATGACAGGCTGTTTAGTAGGATACCCAAGAGTCAGTGCTAAATCCACAACTGTTCACTATCTATATCAATAATTTGGATGTGGAGACCAGCAGCAAAGGGCCTTTGAATTAATCTGATTAATGCATAGTCAAATGTTTGAGGGGTCTTGTGGTGCAGTGGTAGTATGCCTACCTCTGAACCAGGTGGCCCAGGTTCAAGTCCCACCTGCTCTAGAGGTAGGTCATTATATCTCTGAACTGATTGATCTGAAAATATCTGTACAATATTTCTACATTTGCTGATTACACCAAGCTGGGTGGGAATGTACCCAGGTTGTGAGGAAGTTTCAAGGGGTCTTGGACAGTCTAAGTGAATGGGCTAGAATATGACAAATGGAATATAATACAAGTATGAAGCTAGTCACCTTGGTTCTTGTTCTGTGACATCCTTGATCTGGCCCTTCTTTCAGCTACATCATAATTCTGTATGGAAATCTGGATCTGTAAATCCTCAATCTTATTTACTGTTGCGAAATTGGGTAGAGTACTTGTGGATTGGAAGGCAGTAAGTTAGAATTTGTTGTTTATAAAATGCTAGGGGGTAAAGCAATATATGTGGCCCCTTTAAAAGATGATGTGCTTTTTCTATGATTAGAGATATAAAATGGAAGTCCATGAGCAGCAGCTTGAAAGTTCGCAAGTACAAAGAGCACCTGAATTGAAACATTTGTATCGAAAGGCTGTACAGTTAGCAGGCCCAGCAGCAGTTTTACCAAGACAAGTGTTGATTGAAGCAAGCACATAGATGCCAAAAAACAATTAAATTTAAAGGTTTTGACAACAACATTATTGTAAGAAATATTAATATATCATCAAGGGTAGAAAAGAAGGGGCAGCTGGGCAAAGACATGAGAGCTACCTGCCATCCGCCAGAATTAACAACCCTCAGCTCTCAAGGCAGAATCGCCGGCTCCCACAGCCTACTCTATGTTTTAGAGAAAGCACCATCTAAAGAACAAAAGGTCTCCACGGCACGACTAGTGAATATTCCCGACAGAAGAATCAACGGAGAAGACGTTCCTGACTGAAGAATCGATTGAGAACATTCCAGAAGACACGTAACCTGGCTGTAATTTTGAGAAACTAAATTGTTATTTATTATATGTATTTATAAAACAGTGAGACTTATATTTATTGGAACAACGTACCATTAGAATCTTGTTTTATTCAGGAATAGTTTGTAGTTATAAGGGGTTTATTCGGTCTGTTAATAGTTTAGTTAATTTGCTCACTGTTAAGAGTTAGATAAATAAATTGTTACTTATTGATTTTAAAGTGAGTGTCAGGGTTTTATTTTATTTAACTACTAACTTGCTGAAAAGCAGGTTACACCACTTTTCACACTCCTTTTACAGATTATGAAGCGAGGTACTCCTCTTTGAGTATTTCGGTTTTAGTTCTCAGGGGGTCAACCTCCACTTTATAACAGTACTATA